GCATTTCTTTAACTTATACACAAAGATGTCACAAGAGACTATCATGTGCCTATCTGAAGCTGAGATGCATGATACCTACAGCATTCTCCTGATCTGCGAGATGATCCATTAAAAAAGAAAATGAGGTTGGTTTGGCATAACTATTTTTTAGCGAAACTATTAGCACAGGTTCCATCCTAGAATCTACCCTAGAATTTTGTGAGGGATTGACGTTAAGCTTGCTAATCTCTATTTTCCAATATCCACCTTTTTATACTTTGGGACAAGTATTTTTAAGCACTCACTGTGTGCCAGGCATTATAAAATCAGGGCATTGGCTCTCTCTGGCCTTCTGGCACTCCTGCTGTTCTTCATGATTCCCAAAAGATTATCAAAGGCAGGCTGCAATCACAGCCACAAGTTCTTTAAAAATACTTGGATATGTTTCATCTGGCCTGGAGCCTCTAACTTAGATAAAACAGACATGTAATCTCTCACTATTCCAATATATGGGTATCCAAGGCTGAGATGACAGCTGAGAATACAAGTAATAATAATAATGATAAGGATAGTGACTCCCATTTATATAGCACTTGAAGGTCTGCAGAGTGATTTATGAATATCTCAAATGGTTTTTATCATGAGTAATGGATCCCCACAGAGACCAAATATAAGACAGGGTCACTCTCTAGACCAAGGGTTCTGAACTTTTTTGTATCATGGACCCCTTCCCAGAATAAACATTTTAAAAGCATAAAATACATAGGATTACAAAGGAAACCAATTACATTGAAATCAGTTGTCAAATTTTTAAAAATATTTTAAAAAACAAATTTATGGTCCCTAGGTTAAGAAGCCATAATTCAGACCATATAGAGCACCAAAGTGAAACAACAAAGCAGATGTTGACTGTGAAAGTGAGAAACAGCTAAAAATTTTCATAGAATCATAGAACCCAACTATATCCTTATTAAATTACGTCTTAATAGAGCTTAACATTCTAGCCTGAGATCTCTTTTGGATTGTAAATCTGTCATCTAATGTTTTAGCTATTCTTCACAACTTTATGTCACCTGTGAATGTGACAAGTTTGCCTTTCATACCTTCATCCAAGCCATTCATAAAAATATTGAATAGCATAGGGCTAAGGAAAATTCCCTGGAGCACTCTCTTAGAACCTCCTCCAAGTTAACAATAAATTATTAATGACTACCTTTTGGGTCCAGTTCAGCCATTTTTCAGTCATATCCAACTCTTTGAGACCCCATTTGGAATTTTCTTAGCAAACATACTGGAGTGGTTTGCCATTTCCTTCTCCAGCTCATTTTATAGATGAGGAAACTGAGGCAAACAGGATTAAGTGATTTGCCCAGGGTCACACAGCTAGTAAGTGTCTGAGGTCAGATTTGAACTCAGGAAGATAAGTCTTCCTGCAACACTATCTACTGCGCCACCTAGCTGCCCCAAGTAGGTGACTACCCCTTAACTGGATGAACCACATGTCCTCCTTAGTTAGCCAAACATCACAAATCTCAGATTGGATAAAAAAGATCTCTAGGTTTTTATAATAACACTTGAGAGAATGGACTTTTTCATTTTTTTAATTTGTATCCCTATCATAGTTCTTGGTACACTGTAGGTACTTAATAAATTGTTGTTGTTGATCGACTGAATGATTGCGAGGTACTCTAGAATAGTATATAGGCCCTTAAGTTTCTCTAGAAATATCAGACAATAACTAAATACTATAACAAAGCTAATGCCCAATGACTTTTGGCCTCATTCTAAAACATTACCCCTGGAGCGTAAAGGGACTAAATCCTATGTGGTGAAGAAATGCTGAGCACAAAGGGCACCTAGCAGACATCGCTCATTTGAGGAAAAATACAAATAAGGCTTAGGACACAGTCAAGATTAAACTGTAGACTATATTACCTGAAGTCTGAAGAAAGCATCACACTGAATGGGCCTCACTCACCCCTCTTCTTTGATTTTCGCTAATGCAGGGTACATATACGACTATGCCCAGTATTTTTAACCTTAGCTACTGGAAACACTAAGAACACTTGAACCTTTCAAGGTTCCTATCATTTCCATTTTATCAACTAGTTGTCCCTTCTATAGTGTTCAGAATTAATTCCTTTAAGATAAATCTCAGAAAAGCATATCAAATAACTTCCGTAATTACAGGTCTTGCTGTGATTATTACCAGGAACTGCCTGGCTCCCTGGCCTCACTCTCCTACTATATCTAGGTGAACCTCTTTATCTCCCTTTATGTGTTCATACCTACTTACGCTGAAACTAGTTCTTGTCCTGAATAAGAAGGATATAAGGAACCCTTTACTCAGAAAGCGATTAGATCAGAAACAAATGTTTCTCTTGCTACTATTGGTATTTCTTTTTGCTTCTCCCTGTGCTGGCACCTTGACCTGGAGTCCTCATCTTTTATATTGGCTGATTTATCCTTTTCCTGACTGCCAGTTTCCTCTGTCTCCTAATATACGTGCTTTTCCTACTTCCTACATGTTAATTCTGCTGCTGACTCCATATCTACTCTCACTCCAATCCGTGTTTGCCCTACTAGCCATTTGCCTGCACTATCACTGGCCCTTGGCCCACATACCCATATAAAGTCCTGTATTCAGTTTAGGGGATCACATTTTAGGAAGGACATTGATAAGCTAAAGAGGACACCAAACAGAATGGTGAAACACCCTGAGATAAGCCACATGCAGATTAGTTGAGAGAACTGGAGATATTTAGCCTAAAGTAAGGATCACATGGTCCCTTTGAACATATGAAAACTGTCACGGGGAAAAGATATCAAAATTGTTCTACCTGGCCCCGTGAGCAATCGGAGGAAGTTTGGATTTTTCTAGTCTTCATCCCTTTACCGAGATCCAGTTCCGTGTCACCAACTGCCTGCTGGGTATTTCCATTTCAAGCTCAGTATATCCCACACCAAATTCATTTATCTTTTCTCCTAAACTCATGTCTCTTCTTAACTTCTCTATGTCTTACGAGAAAACTATCATTCTCTCAGTCACCCAGGTTCACAATCTGGCAACCCTTGATTCTTTGCTCTCCCTCACTCTCCAAATCTAAGACTGGTTAGTCATGTTCATTCTACCCCCACAACCTCTCCAGTAGCTTTTCTCTTCTTTCCACTCACATTGCCACCACCCTAATTCGGGTCCTATTCAAGTGATGGCGGAATAGGGAAAATACAACAGAGCTGACTAATTAAGGAGCCTCCTAATTGGTCTCCCTTCATCCAGCCTCTCCCTTCTCTAACCCACCCTCCACAGAGCTGCACACTGATGTTCCTAAAACACAGGTCTGATCTTGTCACTCCCCTGCTGGAGATACAACCCTGCTTGTAGGATAAAACACAAACTCCTCCATTTGGCATTTCAAGTCCTTCACAATCTGGCTTTACCCTAATTTTCCATGGTGATAACACATTACTCCTTACACTCTGTACCTTCCAGCCAAACTGGTCTGCTTACTGTTCTCCATTTTCAGGCTCCACACCTTGGCACAGGCTGTCATCCCTCAAGCTTGGAATGCTCTCCCTCCTCCCCCCAGCTGCCACCTCCTGCAAGAGGCATTTCCTGATTCCCACAGCTGTTAGTGCTCATCCCCTGCCTGAAATGACTTTCTATTCATTTTGTATTTACTATCTGTGTATGTATTATTAAATAAGCTCATTCAGGGCAGAGATAATATAATTTTGATCTTTGCATTCATTCCCAGCACTTAACAGTATCACAAAGCAGACACTTAATAAACATTTGCTGAATTTGACCTAAGAATAGTCAATTAATCAATAAATCTATCAGTTGACAAGCATTTATGAAGCACTTCCTTTATGTCAGACACTGTGCCGGGTGCTGGAGATACAAAGACTAAAATAATCCTATTACTCAAGGAGCTCACATCCTAACAAGAAAGACCAGTATATAGTTAAGTATATAAAGAATAAATGTAAAACTAATGAAAAAAAGAGTTAAATACAGGGGTGATATGGTGAGTAGGGATTGGCAATTGGGAGAATCAAGGAAAACCTCCTATAGAAGGTGGTGTTTGAGTTTCATCTTAAAGGAAGGGTGGCATTCTCTGAGGCAGAGGTGAAAAGGAAGTAAGTTACTGTCATGGGATACAACCAGTGCAAAGACTGGAGATCAAGAATTGTGGATAAAAGTCCTCTGTGGGGAGGAGGAACTATAGTTGGAAGAGACTTGAGGCTACGAGACCAATTAGTAGACCTCTGCAATAGTCCTGGCAAGATGTAATGAGGACCTGAACTAAAATGATGGTTGTGTGAGTGGAGAGAGTTGAATGCTAGAACTATTGTGGAAATAGAAATGACAAAATATCCTTACAATAACACTTGGAGGTAAATGATATTATTATATCCATTTTACAGTTGAGAAAATTGAGGAAAATTGCAGTTAAATGAATTTCCCAGAGTTACACATCTACTGTCTGTGGCTGGATTTGATTTCAGGTCTTCCTGACTCCAGACCCTGGTGCTCTATATACCACACCACCTAGTTGCCTAAACTAAAAGGCATCATCAACTGATTTTTAATAATGAAAATAATACTTTATCAAGTATACATAATCAACATTAAAGTCTTAAACCAATGGAGACTATCGAAGCAGAACATTAGCTCTGGCAGGTCCTTCTATGCTGGAAAAGTTTCAAATATGGGTGCAATGACAGACTACACTTATCACCAAAGGACCAGTCCAGGTAAATTCCAAGGCTCATTATCACGTTGGTCTTAGGACAATGACTCTTTCAATGGGAGCAGCTCTTAATGATGGTCTGCCCAGCCAAGGAGACCTTGGGATCTGTGTCACTAAACAGAATACTCACCCCAACAAACTCAAGATGCTTGGAGCACCACTGAAATAAGGGGGGACACAATCTATATGGGCACAAATGAATGTCAGGGATGAAAGAACAGGTAATAGAAATGTTCAGACATGAACACGTCAATATGAACTTACCTCTGATACTGATTAAAATAGCAAGTGAATGGCTGAGAACCAATTTCATCTTCCCAGTACTGTTGCCAAGTCATGACACTTTCCAAATTCTTCTGATTTTCTCTTTCACAAGGAGGAATATATGAGCACTAGCAAAACAGAATACAGGAAGTAAAATTACCACTTTGCATGACATTACAAGATGTGGAGAAGGTCTAAACTTTTACTAGAGAGGGAATACCACAAATATAGTGGATCTAATTAATTTTAGTTACTACAAAAATTAAATTTTATTTTAAAATTCCAAGTTAAAGCAATTACAGAGATGTCAACCATATCCATTAATTGACAGGAATAAGGGCACTACCCTAAACAATTGATAACAATATAACAGGAAAACAAAAATCATACTCTCTGAGAGGCAGAACGTTATATGTTCAGATAGTGATCTTGGGCAAGTCTCTTCATCCCAGACATTAATTTTCTCATCTTTAAAATGAGAAACCTGGACTAGATGACCCCTAGATCCCTTTTAGCTCTAAATCTATGGCTCTGTGATCCACCTGGGGACTATTAGCCAGAGATGGAGGTAAAATAAGCTCAACTCTATCTTTTTCCTTTCTAGAAACCATCACATATTCCTGTATGTCACCCTTTTGGCACATCACCCTTCACATACGCTCAGTACACAGTTGCACTGATGGGTTTTTTTTCCTGTCTTATTAAACCTTCTACTTTTTCACAGTGGAATACTCTCCATAGCCTATGAAAAGACACTTGTTCTCTGAATACATAATCTCAAGAGATTTTCTCAAAGCACACCTTCTTCTAGACAGATCTCTGAGAAGGTGCACTCTCCGAAAGGGTTTCACATCATCCTCTGCTAGCTCCTCCTTCATTCTGGCTTCATGAAGAGATAGCCCTTCTCCTTGCTCCTCCTCCTCTACATGGACCACTGAACCCAAACTCTTCTCTGGCAGGCTGCCCCTATTCCCATTCCCATTCCCTTTCCATAAGTATTAGCTCCTTCCAGGATGACTATAAATATGCTCATGGTGCTCCCTCATCCTCAAAAAGCCTTGCTTGTATATACCATAATTTGTTCAGCCATTTTCCATTAATAAATGCCTCCTAAGTTTCCAGTTCTTTGCCACTACAAAAAGAACTGCTAGAAATATTTTTGTATATAGTGGTCCTTTTCCTTTTTTATTGGTCTCTGGAGCACAGGCATAGTAGGTGTACTGCTGGATCAAAGGATATGCAGAGTATGTTAACTTGAGGAGCACAGTTCCTAATTGCTTTACAAAATGGCTGGACCGATTCACAACCTCAACGACAGTTCATTAATATGTCTGTATTCCCACAGCCCCTGTAACATTTGTCATTTTCTTTCTTGGTCAACTGCCAATCTGATATGTGTGAGGTTGCTTTAATTTGCATTTCTCTAATTATTAGTGATTTGCGGTATTTTTTCATATGCCTATAGATAGCTTGAATTTCTTCCTTTCAAAACTGTTTATATCCTTTGATGAGGTCTATCCCTTTCTAACTTTGTTGCAAGTTTAAATAAAGAAAGCTAAAACAAATGACATTTGTACAGATATTACCAAGTAAAACATGTAGACATTTTTATATTGAGCACCCATAATGTATGAAATGCTCTGTTGTGCTGTGCACATTGAGATTTCAAAAGAGATAAATGAAATATGATTCTTGCCTTTAAAACATTCACAAGTTTAGAGGGTGTTAAAGTCGAGGCTCTAACATAGCACCTTCTTAGTTCAGATTCAATGCTGGGATGAAATGAAGTATTCACAAGTCATTTAACATTTAGCAAAAAACAAAGGAGGTTTATTTTGCCCTAAAACATCAAGAATATGCAACAAGTACATGATAGCACTTAGTTTTTCTGGATGCACCTTCATCTCCACCTGTAACCTTGCCTGATCAGTAGGTCATCAGGGTTATTCCCATGGTCTCAGTCACCCAACGAGTCCTAGAAGTACAGAATCTGCATGGCTGGGGCATTTTATGTCCCTAGATGACCGGGAAGCCAGAGCCAATCAGGTCCTGGGAGTATCTATGTCCTATCAACATACCACTCCTTAGTGGCAAGGTCCTAAGGATCTACTAGAGCAGTGGTGTCAAACTCAAATTGAAATGTATCCCTATAGGCTTTCTATTGACTTCAAAAATCACACATTAATATTGTCTATGTTGTACTGTATTTTTAATTATTTTGTTAAACATTTCTCAATTACATTTAATCTGGTTTGGGCATATTTGGGAGTTGTGCAGGCAGTGAATTTAATACTTCTGTTCTAGAGGACATTGCAACACAGTAGTCAATGACTATAGTAATCTATTATTCGATAAACCCAAAGACCCCAGCTTCTGGGATAAGAATCCACTCTTTGAAAAAAACTGCTGGGAAAACTGGAAAAGAGTATGGCAGAAACTAGACATAGACCAAAATCTCACACCATATACCAAAATACAGTCAAAATGGGTTCATGATTTAGATATAAAGGCTGATACTATAAGCAAACTGGGAGAGCAAGGAATAGTTTACTTATCAGATCTATGGAGAACAGAAGAATTCATGACCAAACAGGAGATATTCTCCATAGTCTACGAAAGCAAAATGGATAATTTTGATTACATTAAATTGAAAAGTTTTTGTACAAACAAAGCCAATGCAACTAAGATTAGAAGGAAGGTAGAAAATTGGGAAAGAATTTTTACAACCAGTCTCTGATAAGGGCCTCATTTCTAAAATATACAGAGAATTAAGTCAAATTTATAAGAATACAAGCCATTCCCCAATTGATAAATGGTCAAAGGATATGAACAGACAGTTCTCATATGAAGAAATTAAAGCCATCTATAGTCATATGGAAAAATGCTCTAAATCACTACTGATTAGAGAAATGCAAATCAGAACAACTCCGAGGTACCACATCACACCTATCAGATTGGCCAACATGACAAAACAGGACATTGCACTCTTTAAATGCTTACAGAGATTTTTACTGGACAGTCGTTCTAGCATAGGCAGTACAAAAGGTGAAAAGGAGGAAAAGTGAAGTCCCCTCCTCCACCCAATGTGGTAAATACACACCCATCATAGTTAAATATCAATAATTTCACCTATTAGCAAGCAAATGACCTCCCAGCAATAATACCTCTTGTCCCTCCAAGTTCTTTCTGGGAAAAAGTTCCCTGAATCATCTCAGAGGAAAGGAAGCCAGCCAAGTGAGTTACTTCTGGGTCTGAGCAATTTTTCTAAGGTATATGGAGCCCTCTAAAGAGGCAAGGACCTTGAGATCAGGGCAGCTCTGCCCTGGGGAACCAGAATTCTGTCCAAAAACAGTGTATTCTTATCAGATAAGTCTTCCTGAAGACAGAATCCAAGAGAAATCATTAGATGAGTACCTTTCCAGAGTTGCATTGATTTGTCATAGATAAGGCTTCTAGGACATAAGATATCTGACTTGCGAAGATGCATAATGATGCAGTTGTTGATCAGCAGGGGGCAAAACTCTCGCCCTGAGATAGGACAGTGACTATCTGGGGAAAGGTTGAGAGCCACTTGGGTTAAGAATAGCTGTCTTGCCCTTAGAGGGATCATCTGGTCCTATGGCTAGCACAGCATGTTATCATTACCCAAATGTCCATATTAACACTGGATCCACTTCTCAATATCTGTTGTTCTTATAATTCTTCCAACCTGGTTGTTTAGCACATATCTCTAATGGGTGCTAACATGCCCCACAAATAACTGATTGCAGCGGGAAGCATTGGCAAAATTCCTCCATTAGTCTTGACCTCAAAGGGGAGAGATCCTTTGACTAGTGCTATGCTCTCCAGGCCACAGACTACTTGGCCACACACATAGCCACAGCCCAGAAACTCTCTGCCTAAAATATGTGGTAGTATAAAGGAGAAGGATGGCAAAGACATATTGGCCTCCTTCCCAGGTGAAATAAACTATTCTGACTAATTTTATCCACAGGAGTAGAGTGGGGAAAAAGGCATTGGCAAGGTTGATAGACCCATACCACTCACCCTGGGTCACCTCTCTGTAATCCACTGTAATCCTGCAAGAGATGAAGATTAGCAACTTGCCTTTCTTGTAAGTCTCATGCAGTTAGTTGCCCAGGGCAGTGAGAGGTTAAATCCCTTGCCAAAAGTGACACAGTAGTATGCATCAGAGATAAGACTTGAACCTTTTTCTACTACATCATGTTACCTCTTGACTTTAGAACACTCTCCCAAATTTCTAAAGATAACATAGCATTGAAAATAAAACGTATTTGCCTTAACATCCCAGGGGTGGCTCTCCAAAGCATGCATAAAGGAAACTGAATGATGGTGAGAAAAGGAGGGTCTGGACATGGTAGGAGAAGAAAGAAGTATTGCAATACCCACTCCAAGAGAAGTGTGATGGGGTAAAGAAGGGTCTGGATTCTGTAGAAGGTTCAGCCAGTGCTAGAGAAAAGAGCCAGCTCTTCAGCATCAACTGGGCAAAGTCAGGTCCCCATGAGGACAGGAAGATGGGAAGGAGTACAATAGGATAATGTGCTGATGCTGATAAAAGAATAGACATTGGCATAGATTTTTATTATTTCCTGAGGAAGCTTTACTGATGTGAATCAATTGCCAAAAAGAGCACCCCCAAAAACTGGGAACCCACTTTGGCTAGCAACCTGATTGCCTTACAATAACTGTAGCTTTAGACAGGATTCTGGAGAGGCATTGTGAGGAAGTTTAATTCTATCACTGCGAATAGTAGCCCAGCATGGAAGAAGGAAGGGAGAGGGACTGGACCCATGATTTCCTTCGTACAGAGAACTTCTGATCAGGAAACTCCTTTCACAATGCAAGAACCGAACCTACTCAGCAACTTAGAGTCTTAGTTGCCCAGAACACCGAGAAATTAAAGAACTTACTCAGGTGCACACAGTCAGTATGTATGTATCAGAGATGGGCCCTGAACCCAAGTCTACCTGGCTTTGAGTTCTCTATCCTTTACAACGAAGACAGAATCACAGAGGAAGAAATAGAATGTCTGCCAGCACTCACTCACCCTGTTTCCTCCAAGTCCCTTGTTTTTTCCAAGTTCCTCAAAAATCCTTGCCCCCTTTGT